ATCAAGCTGATATCCTGCACGGACCTTTAAAGATGGAAAAATGCTGCTTCGAAGGAAAACATTTCTGGCTTCAGTTAAGTTATGGAAAATAAGGATACAGACGCCTATTTTGTACAATTGAAAATCATCTTTAATGCCATTGAGGATGACTTTACATTCCCTAATGTAAATTGAACAGCTTTAGGAGTAATGAATGCAGTTACATGTAGTCATTTAGGTTTTGTGAAAAGTAAATGTATGTGTTTTTTTTTTTTAATGTAAGCACTTGAAGTCAATGAATCCCAGATGAGTCAATGAACTTAATAACATCCAAAAATTTAGGGGTTCCAGACATTTCGTTTTACTGCAGTAGTGTGGCCATACACTTGAGCCTCTTACAGGATTATCTAAATTGAGTGAGGCTTGCAGGATACACACTGGAACACTATGAAAGTGTTTCTCCCTCTGTAGCAGTTGGGTTGCTGTGTCCTGTTTTTCCTCTTTTGCATTGTTCTATATGTTCTTTTTAATCTTGCTGAAAGGCTAGTATCCCAAATTATAAGGGCAGCCTATTTCTAGGCTGTCAATCTTCCACTTTTCTGTTCAGCTTTAGTCCATGTGCTGTCAGCCAAATGCTTTTCAGCAGACTGAAAGTTTTTAGGGCCAGAATAAGCTGAGGAGAAATATTTTGAGCATTGTAATTAATGCCAAATTAATTTATAACGAGGAGAGTAAGAGATACAACAATGACTGTCTTATGAAACAAGTCATGAAAATAGATTCTTGTTTTCAGATTTGAATTTTCTAAGTTGGTTTCAGATAGCTTAAATGTAGTGAGTATGCCTTGTGATGAAGAATGGGTTTGGCACACTACATATCATGAGGTAAAAAGGATGATCCTTTTGTGCCCAATGAAATGCTTCTTCCTTGTCCACCTGCAGACCACCTCTGCTCTAAGCACGGCATGTTTGAGATGGCCTCTAGGGTGCCAGGTACTGAGAGAACCTCTTCTTTCTTCCCAACCCCCAGATTAAGCATGGAGGGGATTTCCTCCTGTCTGTGCAGAAGAGGTGGTTGGGCTGCACATTTTCTGTAGCCCCATCCCTTCCTGAGTTAAAGCCAGCAGCAGATGCCAAAGATAAGGTCAGTGCCCTGTGGATGGGAAGGAATAGGAGCTCTGTGAATAATTTTCTTGGTTATGCTGCTGTCTTAGGTTTTTAGGGTCTTCTATTTTAACTTCTTCTTTAGAGGAAATGTGGGTGTCTTAAGTGGAAACCTATTATTGGGAATTAGCATCTGGTGGAAATTCTGGTAAAAGGTTAGATTTATTTGAATATTCCAAAATGGATTAAAATGGCAATGACCAAGCAATTTACATTTTGTAGGTATACTTTGTTTATTGTTCTGTAAATTAGTTTATTAATTTTTATCATGAGGTGTCAAGTCTTTTGGAGAAGAAATTCTTACTTATTTGTAAGTGTGGAACTGCATTTCTTGCAGCTTTTCTTGAATCAAGTGAAGTATTTAATGTCCATGTGATGGCTCTTTAACATGTCTTTTTGAGTGTGCTTTTTGGTGGCTTGATGGTATGTAGAACATTTCCTTCCTGTACGCCAGCATTTCTAACCAAAATCTGAGTATGTTTGAAACCTTAGCTTATTCACACTTCCTAATCATAATCCCCTTGGTTTCCTTGTCAGCACCTTTTTGTGGTATTTCTCTGGACACCTCTATCTAATATCTCCAGAGGTTATTCTACAGAGTAACCTTTGACAAGATCTATTACTTACTACTTACTGCTTTTAACAAGGTGAACAGAGGTCAGCCCCTGTGAAGGCAGGCATTATTAGAAGGCTGCTGTGGAGTCCCTCAGTGGCTTGTCCATCTCTTCTGGCAGCACTGTCTGCAAATCAGCTCAGGAATGTCCTCTAAAGCATGAGGAAAATACATTTATGATTGGGTATGAGCATATGAAGATAAGGTATGTCCTTGGGAAAGCAGTTACCACAGGCATTATAGAGCTCCAGGCTGGACCTCTGTCAAGGTCACTGACTACTGTTGGACCCACTAGAATCTGAAAGAATTCTGTCAGATTCAAGTGTAACAGGATTTAAGGCTATTAGTTTTGTGTGATCCATTTAATTGAGCCTCATGACCGATGCTGATGACTTTTGCTGCTGGAAGAGTTGAATTGGTAATTTGGTTACCTCTCTTGCCAGAAGTTGGAGTTTGTCTATTTCTGTAACCAAATTTAGATGAAAAATCTACCTCTTCATGATTGGGGGTGGAAAAAAAAGATTGCAAAATCCCACATTGTTAAGAGAGTAACTTTAAGATCCTTTCAGTTGACACAGAAAATCATAGAAATTAGAGTAAACATATTTTCTCCCAAATCAATTAATAAAAGCTGAGAAATTGTGCAGGAGAGTTTAGACAGATTCTAGAAGTATTTAAAACAACATTTTTAAAAATGGCTTCTTGATTTATCTGTATGTGCCCATTCACAAATGAATGAGAGATCTTCCTAGGGTGCCTTGAAATATCTTAGTCTGGCATTCCTTGTCACTGAAGGAAGGTGATTTTTTAAGCTGGGTCTGTCATTTCCTTACCATAGCTTACTGCTTCATGATTTCTGTACATGCAGAACCTACAGAAACTGCTAGTGTACCTTGCAGATGCAAACTGACAATGACAATCAAAAAACCAAAAAATCTTACCTGAGGCTTAACAGTAAATCGTAAAGATTTTTCCTCTCACCTCAAACACTGAAGGCCAGACTAACTTGTTGCTAACACAGCTTTCACTTTCTATCCAGAGTTGAACAATTAATCACATGCAGTCAGTGACTGGAATACTCTGTCTGAGGTAGCATTTAAATTTGATTTACGTAATGGGAACTGATTGCCACATGACTCATGTACTGAGCCCTCTGCAGAAAGTAGGCATGGTAACTGTCCTGAGAGTGTCCAAAAGTGCCTAGGGAGTGTAGGATGTAAATGGGAAACATAGATTGCTTGTTTTGGCTTCAAATGTAAAAATGAAAAATGAAAAGCTTTTTTTGTTAATCGAATGTGATCACATTGTGCTTACAATGTGTACTGTCCATGCAAAACCATTTTATGCGAGATGTAGAAGATGCTTCCTTGGCACAGTACAATTCCTGATGTTCTGTTTGTTTCCCATGTCAGCAACCTCCCAATAGTTTGTTTACTAAGAATTTATATGTAGGAGTGTCTTGGCATATTCCCTTTTGCCCAACTCACCCTTAAATTTTCAGTATACTGGCAAGGAGGCAAGTTAGAGCTGGGCCTCATGGCCATAGGGTGGGATCCGCTTTTCTCTCAAAGCCTTGTAGTTTTGTGAAGGCTTTTTGAAATACAATATGAAGTCAGCCTCTGCAGGTTCAACCAATCCCTGCTGGAAACTGTTAAACTTTTAGAGTAAACCTAAATCTTAATACAAGTTTAGTGAAGTTAGGATTTTTAGTGCATTTTAAATTATAGCTGCGAGTGTAAAGTGCTACCAAAACACAAAGAAATTACTTTCCTCTCTTTACCCTGTTTATGTATCTGATCTAACACACAGTTGATGAATAATACCTTATTCACATTCTGTCAAAGAGTGTATATGTGCTTCCTATGTTTATTTTCCTCATAAACTGTCCACAAATGCCCTACTGCTCATCTTTGTAAAACTGTGCATTGGCTTAAAGAGGAATTCCATGTAGAATTTTGCAGAAAAAAAGATGTAGAGACTGTAGTGTGTCAGTGTCTCACACCAAAAAGGGACACCCTTTCTCTTTCTCCCCACTTCTGCTTTCATGCTTCCTTTTATTCATGATTTTCAAATACCAACAGTGTAAGGAATGGTAGATGCAAGAGTGTATAAAGTGGGTAAATTATCCCTGAAAAACAAATTGTAGGTGGCACCCAGCCTGTACCAAGGTGCCTGCGAAGCCTCTCCTTTGTACCACCAAACTCCTTGTTAGGCTCTGAAGCTGTAAATACAAAGGGAGTGAGTGCTTGGAGCAATAGTTAAAGGTCAAAGAAATTTAGGAAAGCTCAACAAGTCCTTATGGGTGTGGTGGCTAAGTAGAAAAATTTCTTTGACTATTACATTTTATTTGTGTATAGTCTGATTGACAATACAGCTCAATTTAAACGCACTTCAGATTTTCCATGAGGTACCCACTTGAGGGTTTGTTCTATGCTGACGAAAATCCATCTACACATCTGCCACCAGTTGAGAAACTCAGGTGACCAACCCCCCTTCTATGTTGAAAAAACAAATAAAAGGAACAACCAACAGTTACAGGGCTTTCTGTCCAAACTCTTTGCTTTCATTTTGTTTCAAAACTTGGAAAATGAGAAGCCTGCTTGGCCCAGCCACTGTGGATATGGTGTTTTCATAGAATCCTTAGGGTTGGAAAAGACCTCACCTTAGTCCAACTGTAACCCATCTCCACCATGCCCACTAACTTTGTCCCTCAGTGCCACATCTCCATGGTTCTTGAACACCTCCAGGGACGGTGAGTCGATCACCTCCCTGGGCAGCCTGTGGCAATGCATCGCCACTCTTTCTGACAAGAATTTTTTTCTTAATATCCAACATGAACCTCCTCTAGTGCTACTTAAGGACATTACCTCTCACTGTATCACTGTTACCTGTGAGAAAAGCATCTTTGTACCATGTCTCTATGAAGAAAGGCTGTTGTGACTCCCAGCAGGGAATGTTCTCAGCAGAAAGTCTGCCTGGGCACCCTGCATGAGCACGAGCAGTGGCATGCATGTAAGGAAATCCCCCAAGTTCAGAGTCATCAAAACGACATGTAAACAGGGTTCTCTGGTGTTTCTAACAGGAAACATCACATATCAGAGCAAGAGGGCTATCTGCAGGTTTCCGGACATCTTCGGCGGCGGGAGCTGAGGTAGGTGGAGAGAGAAAAGTGACACAGGGATTTGGAAGAGGGGTGAAAGCACAGGAGGGTGCTACTTCCCACCAGCAATGCTCTCTGTCTCCCCTGGGACCTGCCATAAGGTAGGGGCTCTTATTGAGAGCAGCATATTCCAAAATAGCAATGGCTTTAATTGCAAAGCAAATTGAAAATGCTCATTCAGTGACCCTGTAAGTCAGTGAGGATGGTTTCTGTTCAAAAGACGGGTTCTTTTGCGGCTGCAGGTGTTGCTGCACTATCTGTGACCCACTACCACTTTTTACATGATATTTTTGCCTATTAGAACAAATTTTCTTTCAAGATGATGGTATGCTTTTTTTTTTTTTATAGTGTTCGTTTCACCTGGTTGCAGACTGGTGGTGATTTCTGATGGTATAAATACTTTGGGTTGGGTGGTTCTGCTGTGCCAGAGGGAGGAAAAGCCTGGCAGTCAATCAGCCTGGCATTGAAGCAGATCACTGCTGTTCCTGCTGCTGCATGGGGCCTCTACTCCAAGGCACTTGTCCTTCCTGTGTTTCCAAAGGGTTGGGAAAATACTCTTGTGAAAAACTAAGCACGGTGGGTAGCAAAGTCTAAAATTGTTTGTGTGAATCACATCAGTTGGAAAATGATCTTCACTCAGCAACTGTTTCCAGCAAATCAAGGCAGCAGTGTGTTGGTGCTGAGGACCGGGTTCCTCTCCAGCAGATTTGCACGGGCTCCTGCTCCGTGCTCTGCAACCAAGCAATCCAAGTGCTTCTTCCTTTCCTCTGGGGAAGGGCTTTTTCTCTCAGCTGTGTAATTCGTGTAAAAAAAATTAATATGTAATTTGTTGTAGTTTATCCAGTGAAAGTCGAGGTTAGTTGTCTTTGCACCTACCAAGTGGCTGCAGCAACACGCGCTTACCGCTTGGCATTCCCCGTCGCAGCTCCCCATTACCTCTCGCAGGTTCCTTGAGATGAAAATTGGAAACCGGTGTGGTTCTCCGCCGGGCTTTCTCCCCGGGCCGCCTGTACCCCGCCAAGATCCCGCTGCCGTTCGTACGATTCCCGCTCGCCGCGCACTCACCAGCAGAGGCTGCTGCCAGCCCGCGCTTGGCGCCGGGCGCGGGCACGGGGCGCGAAGGCGCGGACAGAGCCGGAGCCGCCCGCGGGGGCGCGCCTCTGCGAGCTGCCGTTCTCTTCCCTGGCTCAGCGCGGCCTCAGCGCGGAGGGCGCGCGCTCTCGCGTACGCGGGCTGGGTCTGCGCCCGTGTAAGTGAGCGGGTGGATGCACTGCTATGGGGCACTGTGAGCAGCGCGACGTTTGGAACCGTCCTGTTGCTTCTGTGGCAGTATGCTGCTTTCCAAATAACCCAGCACCACAGGTATAGGTGATTATTTCCTACCGACTTGCCAGAACTCTGGTTTTCCCAGGAGTGCCTCTGTGTGCAATCAGTGAGAGTTGGGCCCTGGGCTGTTCTCTCAGCATGGTAGTAATTTATCTCCAAATCTTAAGGAGATGCTGCTGAATTCTGCTGACTGTCAGTGCAAGGCTTCATGTCTAACAACATTGATTTATGGAAGTATAGGTTTTCTGCTTTTTAAGAGCATACCATCTGCTTAAACTGTGTTTATGCTGTGTAAGAAGTCAGCGTTTTACAGGTGAGCTATAGAGAAATGGTTGCCCAACTTATCCTCTCAGAGACACCTGCTTGGGAATAATTTGCTGTTTGCCGCTTTGAGGTTGATTCTTCTGTTCTTCAAATGGTTAATATCACGTGCTAATTTACTGAATTGCTGCTCACTGTAATGCAGCAGCAAGACCTGGTAATTACCCGCTACAGTTACCCCAGCCCGCCTGCAGGACTGGGGGAGAGGGTGTGGAATGGAGGAGATTGGATTCTTTGCTGGTGTAAAGCTGTGCCAAGAGGCTGCAGTCTGTAAATCCATCGCCCACTTGCCCCATGCTGAATGCCTCTCACAGAAGGAGCTCTGGTGTGGTGCGGCCCTGGCATCCCACAAACAGGGCTTGTCGGAGTCAGCGGTGCCGCTGTTTGCACAACTGCAGCTCTGAAGCATGTAACAGATACCTTTTAGTTTAATTATGATTTTTACAGCTGGCCCATGCTGAAAATGATTGAAAATTTTTCCTAATGAGATAAGGGGAGTTAAATTTGTTTTTGCAAAATAGTTCTGCATGTTTTATTACTATGTGCAGGTCAAGCCAGCATATTGTCTGACATTCTAGCAGGCTGTATATACACGTGCGGCTGTGTACCTCTGCTAATGTTGTTTTCTTAGTGTACATGGAAATTTCACAGCTTGGGCTGTAAGGCTTCAAAGGGGAACGGAGCGTAGGAGCAAAGGCTGAATGCACAGTGCAGGGTGCAGCCTGCCTGCACTGTGCTTGGCTGCTGGAAGGAGCTAACTTCAGACCCATGGGCTGCTGCAGGCCACAGTGCTGGACAGGAGCATGTAAACAAATGTATGTAAATCTACGTGTAAACAGGTAGAGCAGTATGTACAGGAGAGCAGCAATTGCAGTGTTTGCCATTCATTTCCCAGTAGTTTTATGATGGTATCGCACTTGGCTCTGCAAAGGCGCAGAAAACCTGTTATACATCTCTCCTCTTCTGTACAGAATGTACGACTAGGTAATGAGAAAAACGTTTCTTCTGCAGAGGGGCAGCGGCTACTACAGAGCACATGGGTATTGTACTTCATGTACAATGTTCTGGGTATTAACAGGTGTGGACACTGCTGCTCCTCATGCCTGTGGTGCTTTAAAGCTGGCGTCTCACCTTTGCCTTTATCATACCTTTGCCTTCTTTCCTTCTGCTTTGACTTCCAGGCACACCCCTGTCCCCCCGTGCATTCTGGTGACTAATCAAATAAAAGCATCTCATCGCTGATGCATAGCAAATCTGGAACGATGGCTATACACTCTATCCACTAGTGTTTGGGTGTTTCTTGGAGGTTTTGGATTTCTTTGGATTTAGCCTTGAGTCCCCATGTCTAAAGCAGGAAGTCACATTGTTTTTCCATTTCAGCTTACTAGTTTTCACCCTCTTGCTCCGCTTTTGTTTAAGAATAACTGAAACCAGTTCTTACAATGCTAAAATGCCTGTTGCTTAACATCTTCAGCAATGAGAGCAACACTGAGATTGTGAGTCCATTCTTGTGTCAGGTTCAATTTACAGTGGGGATGGCTGGTGCCCTGAGGGTTTATATTTGGTAGCTAATTATGCAGCAGTGTCTCAGACTTACTTTTGTCAGCCTAGAATATGCCCCAGATACATCATGGTAGTATTGCTTCCATTGGTGTTAATGGCTTTTGACCTCTTCATTGTGCATTTTTTTCCTCTCAGCTTTTTTGAATCAGTGTACATTCTCTGACTTATAATTTCCTACTTTTTTCTTTTCTGATCTAGTTTCTGCAGGTACAGTGCAGGGTTTCTGGATTCAGTCATTCTACTAAAACATGAAAAGCTCTTCATTTCAGTTTGGTTGTACTTATCTCTATTTTCTAAGTGTCTTTGTCTTTGAAACTTAACCTATATATTCAGTCAGAGCTATGGGTGACCCACAGTGGCTGTTCATCCTCAGGGTATGAGATGAAGGAGCTGTGGTGTTGTGTTGCATTCAGATCCATGCCTCTCTCTGCCCCAGTGCCCAAAGGTGGGTGGTACTGCTCTGAGTCATCTGCTATAAATGCCAAATGATAACATCTTCTGCTTCACGATGCTCTTATTGGCAGCATCATGCATCACCAGTGCTTGGTCACATTTCTCCAGTCTAATATTGCTGCTCATCACGATTGCGGAGATCATATTGCAGCTGGCTCTGCAATCCAGCTGGAATCCAGCTAGCTGTTTGATCCAGTGACACGGTTATGGATATGGCTGATAGTTTTCCTGTATAGCATTAGTACATGGACAGTCTTTGCTTAAGTTACGTGCCATAATTTGTCCTCCTATAGGAAATTTTTCTGTCCTCAATCACTGTCAGTACAACTCCCTGTGCTCCCCTCTTGCCACCCACCCTGGGATTACTGCAGCATTAGTATAATAAGCAGTTCTGTTTCCCACAGTTGTCCTTAGTCTGTGTGTTTTTTTCTTTCCATCTTTCCTGATGCTTCCCAGATCCTGTGCATAGGATCAGGGTGCCAGCAAGCTCAGTCTGTCTTTGTTCTGCCCTTCTAAATTCTTCAAACATGTCTCTACATACTTCATCTTCACTAGAATTTGTCCTTGTTTTCATCCTTTTCCCGTGTAATGCAGCTGCCTGTGTTGTTTGCAGATATTTAGCTGGGGTTAAATTTGTTTCTCTCTGCTGATTGTTCCACAAATGGTCCTTTCCTGATTAATCATTTTTCTCATTTTAAACTTGAAGAGTTAAATTTAAAAGAGACTGCTGCTTTTGGTAACGCAAAATGCTACATTATGCTTCTTCAACTTTATAAACATGTGGACAATTTTGATAAAGTCAGTGGGAATCAATGTCTCTTCATTTCCTGGCCTATAGCTTCATGCCTCTGTGCTGGCTATGTGCTGATGCAGGGATGCTGCAATGATTGCACACAGGGAGAATCAAGTCTGCTTGACTTGTGATGGGCCACACCAAGGCAGGCCTGGCTGTGGTGAAGTTACTCTGGTTTTGGGGCTGTTGTTTTCTTGATACTCTGATTTCTACAGGAGTCACTTTGATGTTGTGCAAAGTTCTAAGTTGGTGTTTTGATACACCTACCTGTTCAGATCTCGTAGGAACCTGGAGTTTCTGGGAAATGCAATGAGGCAGACAATAGCATGGCTTGTCTGGAGTCAGCTCTGGTCCACTCATGCAACGTCCGCCCATGCTGGACCCCAGGTCATGCTCCCACTGTTCCTGGCTATGGTGTTTCTTTGCCTGAATCACAGTTAATCCACTGAATCTGGTTAAACCTCCCATGAATAATTGAGAGTTGAGAGTGCCTGTGTGTGCTGAAACTTTAGCATGCCATCGAGTGCTTTGATGCACTGGGGCACTGGTGATTGCTGAGTGGGGAACTGGAACCAGGATTCTTGGGACTTCACTGGGAATGTGGAGAAAACAAAGCAAGTGACCAGCTTAAAGCTGATTTACAGAAGCAGATGTGCTTGTCCTGCATCCTGCAACCCCCTTAGTCATGCTATTAGCTTGGGAAGACAAAGGTGCTAACAATACTATTGTCCTTTCTGTAAACTTGTCCCTTTTTTTTTTCTTTTTAAACTTTGAAACCTTTCTCATTGGTATCTGCTGTGACTACAAGAGTTCGTGGCTCATCGTTTGTTGTTTAGTTTGTACTGATACTGATGCCATCTCTCACCTCCGCTCATATCCCCTATCAGTAGAACAGAGATAATACCACCTGCATGCCTTCCCGATGCCTAAAGGGAGCTCTCTGCAACTGAAAAGTGCTTATTGTTATTACAGCATGATTTTACTGAGGGTAAAGTTTTTAATTTTTCCAAATTATTTCCAAACTTGAATTTCTCCTGTATTTGCCAAATCCTGAGACTCATTCCAGGTTCAGAGCCAATGACATTATCTCTATTAGTCAGAACTTGCTTGGAAAGGTGATTTCTTCCATGTTGGCCTACACTCTGTCATGGCATTGAACTCTTGGAACGCCTCGGCCCCTTCGCAGAGCCATGTTTCAAACATGTTTGTGCCAGAGGAAGAAAAGTAATTGGATAAAAGCAAGTGATTATAGTATCTTAAAAAGAAAGAAAGAAAGAAAGAAAGAAAGAGAGAAAGAGAGAAAGAGAGAAAGAGAGAAAGAGAGAAAGAGAGAAAGAAAGAAAGAAAGAAAGAAAGAAAGAAAGAAAGAAAGAAAGAAAGAAAGAAAGAAAGAAGAAAGAAAGAAAGAAAGAAAAAAGTGATTATGTGAATTTTCCTTGAGGGACTTCTCTTTGGATTGTTCTGAAACTTATTTTTAAAAAATCGTGGTTCAAAAGCTCATTCACTGTGTATGAAGGGATTGGCACTTTGCTTATAGTTTTGTTGGTTTTTTT